CAAGAGGAGAATACGTCAAGCAAACCTAAGAAGTTAAGACCTGATTTGGTTGATATGCTGAAGAAAACTTCAAGCCACTTGACACGAAAGCAGAAAAGAGAAGCTCATAAATTTTTGTTTGAATATACCAATCTCTTTGCAAAATCTGATAAAGATTTGGGGCGCACAGGTATTGTCAAGCACAGGATTGATACTGGGGACAGTCATCCTATCAAAATACCACCAAGGAGAGTACCAGCTCATCTAACAGAGGAGGTTGACCAACAGCTGAATGATATGCTTGAAAGAGGTGTGATCGGGCCATCAAACAGCCCGTGGTCAGCGCCTATTGTGCTAGCTAAAAAGAAGGACGGTACATTCCGCTTTTGTATTGATTACCGCAAGTTAAATAGCTGTACAATCAAGGACGCATACCCACTTCCCAGGATAGACGAGTCACTGGATCAGTTGAGTGGTAGCTCGTGGTTCTCTACTCTAGATCTCTGCTCAGGATATTGGCAGGTAGAAATGGAGCCAGACTACAAACAAAAGACAGCCTTTGCCACACGTCGTGGACTTTTCCAGTTTAAGGTCATGCCATTCGGCTTATGTTGCGCTCCTGCAACATTTGAGCGCCTAATGGAAAGTGTTTTGGCAGGCCTTCACTGGGATATCTGTCTTGTTTACCTGAACGACGTGATAGTGACAGGCAAGACCTTTGAGGAAATGTTGGCAAACCTTAGAAAGGTATTTGACAGACTGCAAAATGCAGGCCTTAAACTCAAAGCCAAGAAATGCTGCTTGTTTGCCAAGAAGGTGACTTACCTGGGACATGTCGTGTCAGAGGAAGGTGTAGCGACTGACCCAGACAAAACAGCTGCAGTAAAACAATGGCCAGTACCTACAAATGCCACTGAGGTACGCTCATTTCTTGGACTATGCAGTTATTACAGGAGATTTATCAAAGATTTCTCAAGCATAGCAAAATGCCTACACACGCTGACAGAGAAAGGTCGTGCCTTTGTTTGGTCTAAAGAATGTCAAGAGGCATTTGACACCCTAAGAAATAAGCTGACCAACACTCCAATTTTAAGGCATCCAGATTTCTCTCATCCCTTCATCTTAGACACTGATGCCAGCAATGTGTCTATAGGCGCAGTCCCATCACAAAAGATTGATGGTCAAGAGTTGTTGCTTATGCAAGTCGGACTTTGACAAAGTGTGAGCGCAGATATTGCGTTACACGAAAGGAATTGCTCACGGTGGTCCACTTTGTCAAACACTTTAGGCATTACCTCTATGGTAAAAAGTGCATAGTCCGCACAGACCATAGCTCTTTAAGGTGGCTTTTCAAATTCAAGAATCCAGAAGGACAGTTGGCACGGTGGTTGGAAATCCTCAGTACATACGATTTCGAGATTAGTAGTATAAGGGGTCCCGCCGGCCGGGTCAACTGAGTGCACTTTTTATGCAAATGAGGTTCAAAAATGGGTCAACTGAGTGGAGTGCTAACCCTAACCCCTAGCCCCCTAACCCTAACCCTAACCCTAACCCTAACCCTAACTAGCCCTAACTAACCCTAACCCTAACCCTAGCTAACCCTAACCCTAACCCTAACTAACCCTAACCCCTACCCTAACCCTAACTAACCCTATCCCCCCTTAGCCCTAACTAACCCTAACCCTAACTAGCCCTAACCCCCTAGCCCTAACTAACCCTAACCCTAACCCCCTAACTAACCCTAACCTATTCCCCTTAAATACGGGGTGTGTTTACATTGGTACGTTGGTACTACGTTTTTGTTTTTATGCTGACTATACAGGTAAAAATGCGCCGTGTGCAAAACATTTCAAGAATGTGATTATGACGTCACGCATTCACAGTCTAGACAGTCCTATAACCGGTTTGAACTGGTTTTATTGAAAGACAAGAACACACACAATACAGATTAGAACACAGATTTTATTCAAGTGAAAATATACATACAATTACATTTTCTGTTTCTTCTGGGCCTTCTCACTGGTCTGGGGTAGTTTCCTTTTGGTTTCCCTAGGTTTTCTTTCTATGTCTTTTACCGATACATAGCATGGCTCCATCTGTTTCTTACTCTCTCCTGATCCGCCCTGGGTCCCTTCTTTTTTCTGGTCAATGTTTCCTCCTTCTTCTCTCATTTTTGTCTCTTTCCCCGTGAATGACTTTGTGATTGGTGATAATAATCCACTAATATAACAAAATCCACTGCTGTTATGACATTTCAGTTTTTCCATCTTGTTTTCAAGAGCACTCACCTTGCTGTTCAATTTATTCACCTTGTCATCCACATCATTCATCTTGGTGTTCATTTGATTTAGTTTGTTATCTAGAGCAGATAACATGTTCACAATTCCGTCCAGAGTAGTATTTAAAATGCTCATATCTTCTTCTTTATTCATGTCCTCAGGAAAATTAACCATGTCCAAATTCAAATCCAAATCCACGGCGTCTTTTATTAACTCTGTCAAGGATGGTCCTTCATATCCTTCAGGTGTCACATAATACTGGGAATTTTCTGAAGTATTCATCATTGCTTCTATTTCTTTTCACCTGTGTCCAGTTCGAGGTGCTCACGCAGAATGATCATCAAATTTTACAGTTTTTTTAGTTTATATACCTGCTATGAGCCGTGTGCACCTTTTTTACCTGGGCTTTATATACCTGTTACATCCTCTATAAAGTGCCGTGTGCAAAACTTAGGGACCGTGTGCACTTTTAACCTGCCTTTTCTATACCTGTTGCATCACCTGTAAGGGGTTCGTGTGCATCAATACGTTTTACCTACGTGGGGTATAAACATGAGAATAAAAAATAATAATAATAATAATTTTTTACTGTGATAATACATAGATGCAATGGAAAGAAAAAAAAAAGTATGTATTCAATACCTGGGAAATTTCACACATAGGTTAAAAAAAAAATCAGTGACGTTTTTAAATACCAAAACCTCAAATCAAATCTAAGAATGACTAGACCCCACCCCCTTGGATGCAATGAATATCATATACAAAATACTATTTCGGAGGAGAATTCGACAGTTAGAAGCATTGTTAGTTTTTAACAAATAAAACAAAAAAATCTTGTAATACTACATCACTGTTATGTTTATTATATGACGTCATGGATACACTCGGGTTCGGCCTTTCCCCCCTTCAATTTTGCTTTCTCACTGTGATGGGCGTGTTTACCAAATGGGGTGATTTTCTTTTAGCCAATCACATTTGATCACATGATTGGTTTTTTCCATGTTTCGCTCGCGATTCCAGTATCGTCTGCTATTGTAAATAAATACAGCCCCTCCGAGCGCCCAGTGTCATTCTGCTTGTAGCTGATTTTGACTTTGAAAGAAAAAGAAGAAGAAGTAAGAAGAAGATGACCAACGAATTTATGGATTTTTGGATGATCCCCGGCATATCGATCGAGCACCACGTCGTGATTAGGAGATTAGACACAGGGGAGGAGATTGGCCAGCATAGATCAACTAGAGTTCGTCTCCTTGAGCCCCCCAGCAGGAGGAGCCACCCCTACAGCACTCGGGCAAACAGAAGGAGGAGAGCCCCACAATCACCGCCCCCACCACCGCCCAGACCGGCTGTTGCTCCTACTAGTGCTCGCACCCCCCAGTCTAGAGCCAGGAACCAAGGCCGCATTCCGACCTGGGGGTTCAGGGTCCCCCAACAGTCAATACTATGCACGTTATGTCTTACGGAGGGGGAGCCAAACAACTTCTGTTGTAGTAGGTGCATACAGAGGCCAGCCTGCCTGCTTTGCGCGGCGAGGTTGATAGAGGAAAATCTACCCTGCCCCCTCTGCCGGAACAGGATCCGGGTCCCCGTTCCGCTGTCCCTCAGGCCGGAGTTTAACGGAGATGACAGTTCCAGTGACAGCTCCAGTGATGATGAGCCTTCCATGGGCCAGATGATCCATGAACTCTTGGCTGCCTAAGAACCCACATGGAGCCACCTTGAAACCAAAATGAAAAAAAAAACAAAAAAATCAACAAAACAACGAAAAAACCAAAAAAACTACAAAACAACGAAAAAAAAAACAAAAAAAGCCCTTTTAAGGGCTACCCAATTGTTTCGAAAAGATGCCTTCATATTCAGTCAATAAAAAGAAACGTTCTGTGTGTGTCTTAGAAAAAAAAGATTTTTTTTTCTAAAATACAGTCAAAGAAACGATTGTATCTTAGAAAAAAAAATGATCTTTTTTATATACAGTCAAAGAAACGAAACGTTTGTTCAATAAGAGTACCTTCTGTACAGTCAAAAAGAAACATTGTGTTTCTCTCAAGTTATAACACCAGGTCACTTTTTAAAAAAAAAAATGTTTATGTCTCCAAGTACGCCGTAATTTTCTATGTAAATTAGGCGGCCATTGTCGAATCTCGCCGAGATTTTACCCCAGTGAAAAAAGGCTTGTAATCCATCGTGTAGGTCATTTAAAGTTGTTTCACATTGTTTATGATTGTGATTATGTTATCCCTCACCTATATGTTTAATGTCAGGTATGCTAAATAACCCATTTCTGCGTAATTTGAGAAGAATGTTTTGTCATGTGCTGAAAGTATGGCCTGCTATTCATGTTAGGCGGCCATTGTCGAATCTCGCCGAGATTTTACCCCAGTGAAAAAAGGCTTGTAATCCATCGTGTAGGTCTTTTAAAGTTCTTTCACATTGTTTATGATTGTGATTATGTTATCCCTCGCCTATATGTTTAATGTCAGCTATGCTAAACGACCCAGTTCTGCGTAATTTGAGAAGAATGTTTTGTCATGTGCTGAAAGTATGGCGTGCTATTCATGTTATCATTTGAAAAGTCCATCCTCAAATAAATCTGTCTTTTTAAAAGATACATTTTTACAAATGACATTTAATATGATTAGAGTATAGGTATCCATATATAAGAGATATTATTTTTGCATTACATTTATAAGGTCTCATGTAATTTAATTCATAATAACACAAATGGGTTTTATTTTTTTCTATACAGTCCTTATCCTGGAAGATATGTTCCTAACCAATCCATTCTCTAAGTGAAGTGAAGCGTGCTGGCTGCTGGTCTTCCTTTGGGGAAAATACACAGTGAATCAATTATGATAAAAACAAAAACAAAAACTTGAATCTTAAAAAAGTTTTCAATGAGATATCATTTTAATTTATTTTCATTATTAGTAAGATAATTATTTTAAATGTTTTTTTATATTTTTAAAAGTGGATTTAAAAAATAAAATCTGATCATGGGAAATCAATACCATAAAGATAGCAAGTTTTATAGGAATCTATATATAAGATATTATTTTTGCATTACATTTATAAGAGGCATTGTCTCATGTTAACAAAATGGGATTTTTTTTCTATACAGTCCTCATCCTGGAAGCTATGTTTTGTTCCTAACCAATCCATTCTCTAAGTGAAGTGAAGCGTGCTGGCTGCTGGTCTTCCTTTGGGGAAAATACACAGTGAATCAATTATGATAAAAAAAAAAAAAAAAACTTGAATCTTAAAAAAGTTTTCAATGAGATATCATTTTAATTTATTTTCATTATTATGAGTAAGATAATTATTTTAAATGTTTTTTTATATTTTTAAAAATGGATTTAAAAAATAAAATCTGATCATGGAAATCAATATCATAAAGATAGCAAGTTTTGAAAAACCAATTACTGATGAATTTCTGAATTTTCCATTAAAATATTGACATTATATCACAGGGGAAAGAAAAAAAACTACTTGAGTGTTGGGGATTGCGGTGGACCTTCATCTCCGGTTTAGAACAGACTTTAGAGTATGACAGATAAAAAGGTACTTTTTTTTATTTTACATTACATGAAAAACATACAATTAATGATGAAGAATGTACACATGTTTTTCATAAGTGTGTACAAATTGATCAATATAATATCTATAATGAATCCAATTTCCTGCTAGTCCACAACATAATCCAAAAGGAAAAGCATAAGTCTGGTAAGGTAAACTTTCCCCCATTTCTTGTAAACAAGTTTTGAAACCATTGCTCTCTGTTTTTGTGGGGGTATCCTGATAAGTGGAAATTCTTTTAGGTCGGTGACTTTCTTTTCCATAATCCCATTGAGCTAGTAAACAAATGACCACAGGGGTTTGTAAGGGAAACATCTTAATAGTGCTTGGAATTCCTCTATCTTCTTCTACAGCTAAATTTCTAGTCCCTAGAGGTCTGCGAGTGGCATAGAGATTGACTTGTGGGAATTTCTCTGCCAGACTTTGACTCAATCCATGAGCTTTTACAGTTAAACAATTACATTGATGAACAATAGCTTCTACCTCACAGTTAAGTAAATCACCTTGTATATCCTGGAGACTCATGATGTAAAATGAATCTATTTTTTTAAAAAAAGATCCTTGTTTTTATACAACAACAACAAATACAGCTTACTGAGGTTTTACGGAGATGGCAAGAAGTCTCAACATTTCAGGACACACTGCAAAGAAAGTGATGAAACAATTTCTGTTATATCCGAGAAGAGCTAGACAAAAGGGAAGTCAACAAGTCCAATTTGAACCTCGATGAAATAAGTTTGATATGCGGTATCTTCGGAGAAATGTCCATTATTATGCAGGGAAGGAAAGAAGTGCTGACATAGATGACAGGAGAATGATATGCGGTATCTTAAATCCAATGGTTTTTATCATGCAGATAATTCATGATGATGGAATTCACTTGCCTCTCAGAAACATGTCTATATCTTCTTGTTCTTTGGGCTCTGTAATGATGAAAGTCCAATTAATGGCTATCCTGTAATATCTGTGTGGATCATTAGGATCCTTCACAGCTTGCTCAGGCTTGCTTAAATATTCATTCCTAGGTTCCTGATCCACCTCCATAGGTTCTATTATTCTCTTTTCTATAGGTTCCTGATCCACCTCCATAGGTTCTATTATTCTCTTTTCTAATAAGGTAAGTTTTTCCATCTCCATCTCCATGTCTTCTAATATTCTAGAAATTCACTTGACCAAAACTGTCCTTTACTCAATTAGGGCCCCAACTGATGAGGATGTTCTTTAACACCTTTGTTTTTTATACCCCTCACACCTTTGCAAAAGATAAGGGTGGTGTGCAAAAAATATGCTGACTGCACAGGTAAATACTAGCGCCGTGTGCAAAGAAATATACGATAGACCTACGTTTTTTGTTTTTATGCTGACTATACAGGTAAAAAATGCGCCGTGTGCAAAACATTTCAAGAATGTGATTATGACGTCACGCTTCACAGTCTAGACATTCCTCTAACCAGATCAAACTGGATTTTTTTTTTAACATTTTTATCTTTTAATAATAATAATAATAATAATTTCCCTCTTTTTAAAAAAAATAAATTCACATCCAAACACACATTTTTTAACATTTATTTATTTTTTCATCAAAACAATAACACATACACTTCATGTTGATGAATAATGTACACCTATTTTTGTCATAAGTGTGTACAAATTGTTTTTCAATATTTTTTTATTTTATAAAAAAAATTCAGGTAAATCTACAATCTCTTGGAACTAATTCTCTGTTTCTCACTTCAGATTTAAGAACCCCATATTCTTCATAGTCACCTTGTCTATAAAAGGTTCTTTCCAATTCTGGGGTGCTGTGAGACATATCAAAACAAGTTAACCCATGAATCTTTTTGTACATGTATCTCTCATGACAGCTGTATTTCATTTGAATGAATCCTCTCACATGATGAAGTTTTCCAGTTTCTGGATGCCTTTCTTTTTGTAAGATCAAGTATTGATAATCACTTCTAATGATTTGATCTACATCTTCCTGTCTGCAGCCAGTTAAATCAAATATCCAATTTTTGGCTATTCTAAATCTGTCTATTTTAAAGTTAGCAATATAACCATTGCCTGTATTTTCTTTCTGTTTGTTTTGATAATGAGTCTTAATATCCTCCAAGAGTTGAGATTGGGCTTCTTTCATTATTTTGTGGACTCTTCTCCTCTGTTGGTTTTTAAAATCCACTGTCTCTGTCAATGTTTTTTCTGACATCTCTTTTTTCTTATCATCTAAAAACTTGGCTTCTTCTCTAGTCAAGGGTCTTACAGGGTAATCCAGGTTACCCTCACCCTCTATGGGTAATAAAAGGTTATATTCCTCATTGGCTTCTTCTTCCATCAAGGGAGGTGGTATAAATTCTACAGGATGTTCTACCATCAAGGGAGGTGGTATGATATCTTTTCCTCCCTCCTGTTTAAGTAACCATTCACTTTCCTCTAATCTAGAGTTTTTTACTCATTTCTTTGCTGAAGCTGTTCCCCATAATGAAGCCAGTTCACAACTGAGGTCTGTTTATACAAATGTTTACTATTTTATACTTTTTTTTTGTCTATATTTAGAATTCCATCAAGCTTATATTACATTGAAAAAAAATTTAACTAAGATATTATTTTTTATTATTTTCCAGGATTCTCTAGTGAGGGCTTATGGAAATGATCTATATCTACTCTTAGAATGGTGAAAGACTATCAGATTATGCAAAGACTAACAGAATATCCTCTCTTGGAACACTGAAACAAGAAAATCAAACAGGAGGTGGATTTAAGAAGAACAGAGATAAATATAATTTCCAACCAATTTAACCAGTACGATCATAGACTGTGGTTTACAGGATGACAAAGAAAGGACACAGGATTGTATCTTTTACTGTCAGACACTGACTATGAACTGAGATCTAGTCAAATCAAGTATTGAGAACATGATTTTCTGAAAGCATGAATTTATTCTCACCATCTTCAAAGTATCTATAGCTGACTTTTATTTTTACCAATTCCTATTGAAGACAGTTGTTATGTATGGGAATTATACATTAAAACATTTTATTTTTCATCTAATTTTCACAACCCCCTTGAAATTAACACAGATATCCAGATGCTGGATTTAATGTTATTATTTAACTTTCCTGGAAATGTAAATATATTTTGTTTGTATGTATGTATCATGTTTAATTTTGAATTTAAAATTGGTCTCAATAAGACCCCAAATAAAGATGTAAGTGTCTCATAATCTGTGGTTTAATAATATCTTGAATATCTTTATCATACCATATTCATCATACTAATTACATATAGAATAGTTGTAGGAATACACTTTGTTGTTTAGCACACTTTGTCAAGGGCAAAGCATAAGATTATTGAGATGACTTCTTTGACAATAATTTGTTACTTACAAACTTCACATCATAAGTACACAGATGAAGAATCAATAAGATATTTCTATAGATTTTTTGGATCATTTACTCCTGGGTAAAAGTTAGTTACTAACTGAGATTACTGATTTGAGTCCTGTAATGCAATAACTTAAACATTGTGTGATAACTTATAGACTTTATAAAAATTAGGTGCAAATTCTTAGGTTTAGGGAAAAAGTCAAGAATGTGGATATGACTTTTATTCAAATGGTGCAGTTCAGCAACTCTGGTGATTTACATACCTTCTATCATAAATACATGTAGATAGGTATTGGGAAGACTCCTCTAGATTTTGAAATTTTTAAATCAAAAGTATAGAATTTAAGTTTGAAAGATTAAATGGCAGCATATCATTTGCTTGTGAATTAAAAAATAAATCCAAACATATACATCTTTGGATGATAATTGTAGAATTCTATCAATTCCTGGACTTTCTGTCTTGATATCATCCCTTAATGTCTTTTTTAAAAAATTTAATGATTATCTTTTTAGTTTAGTTGAACTAGTTTCTTATTAGCATGTGAAAATGGCATCATCCAAAAAAAGTTTATCTACATTTTATATGTAGGAGAGAATTTTTCATCACAGGGAAAGAAAGAG